AATTTCTTCCTGAGATCTAATCTGAATCTTTTTTCTCCCAATTTAAAACCATTTCCCCTTGTCCTATCATTACCCTTCCTGGCAAAGAGTCCTTCTCCACCAGAATACCTTCTGGTCTGAATTCCAAAATCAACCCGTTCAGAGTAAGAATAATAGGTTTCCAGCAACCACTGAGGTTCCTCCTTACAAAACTACAGAGATTTTCTAAAATAAGAGCCCCCTTGTTTTGTTTCCAACTCCGTGAACTCTCTTTAACACAGCAACTCCCCACTTCTTTGGAAAAAAACAAACAACAAAGAAAGCAAGCAAAAAACGATGCCCCCTTCCATGCTCACACCGTTACCTGCCCAAACCCTGCTTCTCATTTGACCCCAAAACAAGACCTGGAGGAAACAGCAAGAGGCTGGCTTCCATATACTCCCACCATACTTTGTCCTCCCACCCCAAGGGGCTCGGCACCAAACACCGCATCGTGACTGTGAAATCAGCTGCAGAGAAGAATTTCACTGGATTTCACTGAATTTTTAGAGTTGGAAGGGACCATAGAGATCATCTAGTCCAACTCCCCTGCTAAAGCAGGACCATCCAGAGCTTGTCAGAGCATGTTACTCAGGAGCATCCAGGCGGGGCTTGAAGATCTCCAGAGAAGGGGACTCCACACCCTCCCTGGGCAGCCTCTGCCAGGGCTCTGCCACCCTCACCCCAAAGAAGTTCTTCCTCAGATTGGAGTGGAACTTCCCATGGTCCAGCTTGTGCCTGTTGCCCCTCGTCCTCTCACTGGGAACCACTGAAAAGAGTCTGGCTCCATCCTCCCTCAACCCTCCCTTTAGGAACTTGGAAACATAGATGAGGTCTCCCCTCAGCCTTCTCTTCTCCAGGCTGAAGAGCCCCAGCTCTCTCAGCCTTTCCTCATCAGGGAGATGCTCCAACCCCTCCATCATCTCTGGTGCCCTACGCTGGACTCTCTCCAGCAGTTCCCTGTCCCTCTTGAACTGGGGAGCCCAGAACTGGACGCAGGATTCCAGTTGTGGCCTCCCCAGTGCAGAGCAGAGGGGGAGAATGACTTCCCTTGACCTCCTGGCAACACTCTTCCCTACGCAGCCCAGGATCCCATTGGCCCTCCTGGAGGGTTCCTGGTTAAATCCCTTATTTTCTGGCAGGACAGACAGAACGACATGGATATCTTACTAGATCACCCCTACCTGGCAACCCTGCTTACAGCGGCTGGTGAGGAGCGGCGCACTGACCTGCAGGTTTTCGGGCAGTTCAGTGACCGGCTGCTGCAGGAACAGGGCCATGAGGAGGAAATAGAGGGCAGGGACGTTGGTGTGCTTGGGGAGAAGGGACTGCAGGACAGGAAAGCCTGGGAAGTGACAAGCATCCCGGTTAATCTCCCGGACCGTCGACCTGCCGCCGGCGCTCCTGCCCACGTTGAACCCTAAGATCAAAAAGAAAAATAGAAAAAAAAATAGAAAAAGTCACAGAATCACAGAATCTTCTAGGTTGGAAGGGACCTTAAAGATCATCTTGTCCAACCGTCAACCTAACTGACAAAAATAGACACCCACACAACAAACAAGGAGCATCATCACTAAACCAGACCTCCCAGCACTACATCAACCCGGCTTTTGAACACCTCCAGGGATGGGGCCTCAACCCCCTCCCTGGGCAGCCCATTCCAATGCCTGAGAACCCTTTCAGTGAAAAAATTTTTCCTAATATCCAGCCTGAACCTCCCCTGGGGCAACTTGAGGCCATTTCCTCTTGTCCTGTCGCCTGTGACTTGAGAGAAGAGACCGACCCCCACCTCTCTACACCCTCCTTTCAGGGAGTTGGAGAGAGCAAGAAGGTCTCCCCTCAGCCTCCTCTTCTCCAGGCTGAATAACCCCAGCTCCCTCAGCCTCTCCTCATAAGACTTGTTCTCCAGACCCCTCACCATCTTTGTCGCCCTTCTCTGGACCCGCTCCAGCACCTCAATGTCTTTTTTATGGTAGGGGGCCAAAAACAGGACACAGTACTCAAGGTGAGTCAACAATGTTAATAAGGAAACGCCTACGGAGCTCGCTCTTACTCAAGAAGTGGACTTGGGAGGGTACCTCCTCAGGAATTAATGCTGCAAAAAGGGAATGTGTGCAGACTGCCACACACGTATGACGAAATTTCACTTCGGGTGTTTAATTTTATCTGTAAAAAAATGGAAACTATCGCTTTTTGGTGCCACATAGATGACACTGCTCCATACAGACCGCCTGACACTACTGCATTCTGACCGCCATCCCAACTTCAGACTGTTAAAACACTCAAGCTTCTGAAAAAATAATAATAATAATAAAAAAAAAAAGTATTTATCTGTCTGAGAGGGAAGCATCACCTGAATCTCAGTTACAGATTTATATCACCAAGTAGCAATCCAATGCCCCATTGAAATCAAAGGGCAGCTAATTTTGTTTCCAGTGTCTCAGGGGCATCTTGTTTCAGCTGTTTTGGTACCGATTAATCAGCTGGTACGAAGCATTAAATGCTCTTATTTAATCTTAAGTGCTGCCAGAGGCACAAAATTCACCTTCTGTGACCCTGCCTCTAGCTAGGTATTCCATTTTCCTATTAAAAAATCAAGCAGAAGTGCTTATTTTCAAACGAGGAAGGAGGCAGGAAGACTATTTCAGGCTCTGCATCAGCACAATGAGCTCAGGTTGTTTCTCTGAGGCTCTAACGTAGATATTCTTTCCATCAGACTTTTTAAACAGAAAACACATCCCAGGAATCAGACTACTGAAATCTTTGCTACAAAGTTGCAGGAATTCCATCCTAATTTGAGGGGAAAAAAAGAAAAAAAAAAAAAAAGGCTCGTACTTGGTTTCATGAGAAATCTTGGCTCCAGTGGGTTGCAATTTATTAAAAAACACAGGATATGAAAATCAGATAATCTGTCACTATCAGTTGATGAGACACAAGTTTAAAAATATCTGTTTGGTCACAGTCTAGCTTGGATTCCATGGAAGTGATACTATAAATAAGAAAAATAGGAAAACTCTACAAACGCTCTCCAAATGTGATTGTAAATCCAAATCTCATTTAGAAAGATTTTGTGACTGAAGAAAATTTTTATCTTATTGGACATTTAAAGTGGATACTGAATAAGCAACAGTCAATTCTGTAAAATATCGGTGTTTTTCAAATTTAAAGGCACATGCACGTGCAAAAATTGTTTATTACATAAAATACAGGACCTTAATCAGAATTATCCAAACAACAGATGCTACAGTATGTTCACACTAAATATTTACACATGTAATATGGTTGCAGAAAAACTGTTTTCCTTAGTCTTCCCAATTCATTAATAACGCAATATCTATTTTTGTAGACGGATATCCTGAGGGATCTATTATGGGAAACCACTGTAAATAAACAGACTTTATAGACAGCTTCATTTATGCAAAAATAACAAGATAGCATAAGATACTGTGACAGATTTCAAAGAGACAAAGTAGGAAAAAAATGGGCTTTACATTTTCATTTCAGGAAAAGCCCTCTTCCTGCAGTAAGACTACTTCAGTAACAGCTCACAATTATTTCTTTATAATAAACCAATTTGGAAAAATCTCCAGCACAGAATCAGCTCATATAATGCTGCAACACAGAGAGGTGGCTCCTTGTAGACTCATTTTAGGAACAAGAATTAAGTTGAAAGTACTATTAGGACCACTGCCCTGATCTAAAGCCTACTCAGACTCATGAAAGATGCAAATTTGATGCCAACGGGTTTGCTTCAGGGTCTGAATAGACATTCACCTGAAAAGCACTATCTTATTTTGACTGAAAAAAACCCCAACAGGTCTGTGGGAAGAAGCCACTACACCTGGCTACACAGAATTGACATTTGTTATTTCAAAATATGCTCAGAATGGCTCAGAATGGCACTCAAGCCTCAAACACTGAATTCTGGATCACACGGGGCAACGGGAAGATCTAATAACCTGGATAAAATGAGGCTTTAAGAACCTGCAAAAGTGGCTGCAGGGAGAGGGAGGGAAAGAGGGGAAAGAAAGGGTGAGAGGGAAAGAAAGGGTGAGATGATACCATACCTAGCACAGTGCCAATCTTGTTGGTCAAGACGGAATCCGTCTGATCGAGCCAGCCTCCACCACTGAGACCCTCCTTAAATTTGATAAGGATGGACTGGTTACTCAACAGGACCACAAGAATTCTCATGGCTGCTGTGACCGTGGTGGAATGTAGATGTTCTTCCATAAACATCATAATCCAGTCAAAACCCAGTGTCTTGACCAGTTCTTCACAAGCCCTAATTAAAGGAGGGGAAAAAAAAAAAAAGAAAAAAGAAATAAAGTCATGTTTTATTGCATTTAGTTTCTTACTAGATAGCAAAAATCAGTGTTTTCCACCATAAGGCAAACTTCAAAGAAAATTCAGATCTGTCAAAGAGTTAAGTGAATTCTTCAGTAAGTTGCTACACAACGAGAAATGTTGCTCAACAAATCTTCTTAAAATGAAGCACATTCAGTGTATTTGTTTAGCAGAAAGGGAAGACTAAATATAGCTCCTGGGTCTATGGGACTAATCCATTGCAAGAGATTTCTCCAATTGCTGCTTTTGATAACAAATGTGGACTGCTGAACTGGAAACATCTGTCCACTAATTATAATTTCCAAATCCTTTTTGTTGAGCCATACACAGGCACAGAGTTTTCACAACCCTTTTTAATAAACTTGTATTAAAAAAGAAAGGTTGTGGGGTTTTTTGTTTGTTTGTTTGGTTGGTTTTTTTATTAAAGGAAGAGTTGTTTGGGAATATTTGGAAGAATATGAGAATACAGTTTGTTTTGATCTTTTCCCTTCCTTTTTTTTTTTTTAAAGCAATATTGCTAAAAAGCCCCAACAGATTCAGGTTGTACATCAACTGACGCTCTGTCAATCAGTACATAATCTGCATATGCCATACATCCACAAAATGCCTCACTTTTACAAATGCTATTTTTCTTCCATGAAGTAACGATAAGCAGCAAGCAATCTCCCCCCAAATCTACTACATTTTCCTCTCCTGATGACATTTACTTCTATTGTTCCTAAGTTGAAGCACAAGTTTCTACTAATGCTGTCAACCATGGTCTTGAACTTCTTTTTTAAAAAAAAAAGATTTGAAACAAAAAACAGTTAATGCAATTGCTGAAAGATATGTGTTAGCTCCACCAGCATCTGCTTAGTACTGTCATTCTTGCTACCTCAATAATCATAGAATGATAGAATAGTTTGGGTTGGAAGGGCCCTCTAAAGATCATCTAGTTCAACCCCTCTGCAACATCTTCAACAAGATAATCATAATGTATTCCATTTCTGCTAGCATACTCAAAGCTGCCCCTCTGCAACGAGCAGGGACATCTTCAACAAGATAATCATAATGTATGCCATTTCTGCTAGCATACTCAAAGCTAATTCAGTGACATCTGTATAAATCCTTCAACAGTTCCTATAAAATGATGCAATTCAATTAGTGAATCGAATGGGGGCTGTATAATTCTCCCCCTTGAAATAAAAAGTTATATCCTTTCCTTACCTCCCTGTGGTTTTTTTGTGGTTTTTGTTTGTTTGTTTGTTTTTATTACTTACTGCAAATTAACAGTTGTCTTTTCTTTAGATGTATACAGGAGTTTCAGGAGGATATCTAAAAGCCTGTTCCGCAGTAGAATAAGATTCGCTGAAACAAGTCCTCCAAAATCATCCTCTGTTCCTAAACAGGACAAAAAAAAAAAAAAAAAAAAAAGGCAAAATTAGACTTTTGGAACTTGGGCATTTTAAAGGCTATTGATAAACTCCATACATAAGCAAATGCACCCTGATTGCACTCACTCAGGCTGTGAGGAAGCCGTGCTAAGGGGCAGTCAGCCTGCTCTGTGCTGCCCAAAAATGCTTGGTGCCCCATTATCACTGTCCCACTGAGGTTGGTCAGGTTGAAGAACGGGTAAAAGGGAATTGCAGCTTCAGTAATCTAAACTGAGGGGATCCAAATTAGCTAAGCTAATCACTCCTGGCAGGTAGAAACATAAAAACAATCAACACCCCTCCCCTTGCTCCCCTCCCCACAATATGGTAGTTAGATTTTGCATTGTGCAACTGGGAGGAAGTGGGAGGGTGATCCCAAGAAAAAGCCTGATGCTTTCCAACTCCCTCCAAATCTAAAAAATGGGGAGAAAAATTAGCTTCCTTTTTTTTGACAGAACCCCAAACTCGTTGTCAGCTGGAAAACACACTGCAAAACAGAATCACAGAATCACAGAATCTTCTAGGTTGGAAGGGACCTTAAAGATCATCTTGTCCAACCGTCAACCTAACTGACAAAAATAGACACCCACACAACAAACAAGGAGCATCATCACTAAACCAGACCTCCCAGCACTACATCAACCCGTCTTTTGAACACCTCCAGGGATGGGGCCTCAACCACCTCCCTGGGCAGCCCATTCCAATGCCTGAGAACCCTTTCAGTGAAAAAATTTTTCCTAATATCCAGCCTGAACCTACCCTGGCGCAACTGTTCCTGATACAGGCCAGGATGCTGGTGGCTTTCTTGGCCACCTGGGCACACTGCTGGCTCAAGTTCAGCCAACAGTTGACCAACCCCCCCAGGTCCTTTTCTGCCAGGCAGCTCCAGCCACTCTGCCCCCAGCCTGGAGCGCTGCAGGGGGTTGGTGGGACCCAAGGGCAGGACCCGGCACTTGGCCTTGTTGAACCTCATCCTGTTGGTCTCGGCCCATCGATCCAGCCTGTCGAGATCTCTCTGCAGAGCCTCTCTACCCTCCAGCAGATCAACACTCCCACCCAGCTTGGTGTCATCTGCAAACTCACTGAGGGTGCACTCGATCCCCTCGTCCAGATCATTGATAAAGATGTTAAAGAGAAACAAGCCAATAGGTGCAGCTCAGGACTGGCTTCACAGTTATTTTGTAAATCCCTCTTATTACACTTTATGCTGTCAAAGGAGGACCGCGTTTTGACATTATTTAAAAAAAAAAAACCACAGCTGGTCTAGAGTGAGTACACCAATCTGGATCTCTCTGCAGCACCCACTCCCTCTTTTTCACTAAAAATCTCGAATTTAATCATCTTTGAGACTGCAATAAGCAAAAGTATTCAAAAGGAACAGGAGAGGTACAGGGGGATAATGAGGAATGTGCAGGCTGCCTAAACTTTGTTCTTTGGGAACCCAGACCCCAAAAAAGGTAACTGCAAAGCACAAACACTTCTCTCACTTGTCCCTCTGCACCTGTATATTCCCAAGAAATGTAGAAATGTGGGATCTTTGAGCCCTCCCATCTAGTTATATGGGTGACACCCACTCTGGGGCTAAAACATTTCTATTCAGTGAGAATGTGAAAACACAATTGAATAAGGTTTTTTTCTTTAAGAAAACAAGGGTAAAATTGGTCTCAAAACAAGTCAATACAAGCATTCTTGAAGGACAGCAGAACTTTTTTTTTTGCCTAAAAAAAATAAATAAACAGGCTGTCGTAGTTAATTCTTCCACTTCCCCTACAGCTGGAGGGCAGATCCACCTCGTAATCCTTCTTTGTCTTTTTTTCTCTCCCCACAAAGCAGCAGAGATGCACAGCTGATGTGAAGGAGCAAGAGGAGGAAACAGAACAAAACCACGCAGTGTTAAATTAAAAGGAAACAAAAGGAAGAGTAGATGGGTTTTGCACTGCTTTGCACGTAATATTGAAAACCAAAGTACCACAACCAACTGGCAGCCAGGTCATAACAAAATTATGATATTACTAATGATATCAAAGTACCACAACCAACTGGCAGCCAGGTCTTAATAAAATTATGATATTACTAATGATATTACTTCTACATTTTACATAGAGATCACAAAGTATTTCCCCTTTTACCGCTTCTGAGCCATCACTCACCACTGTCAAGCTTCTCTTCGTTGTTTATTTCCATGACTACAAACTTCTCACAGACCGCAAAGGTAGGTAAAGTGGAAGAGATGAACTGTCCAAACCTTGATGTGGGCAGAAAAAATATCATTCATCGATATGACAGGTGCACTCTCATCTATCAATAATTCACCTTAAATATAACGCTGTAACACTAGTGAGAGGGAGATAACCAAAACCATCCCACATCTGAAGGTTGAGAAAAATGGTCTCCATCTAAAGTTACTAGCCAAAAAGTAAATTAATGTCTAGTAATGAACAGAATCTTTGCAGGCAAGGGACCCTGCAAGTGCTAAGTTTCAAGAAAGGCAACTGGGAGTCGTAGTAAAGGGAACACCACAAGGTAAAGGAGGACAAAACATTATTCTCAAAGCATTACAGCTGAAGTATTACATCAAAACCAGTGGTTTACTCACTCAGGTATAACATTCATGCCTATAGCTTGAGGTGATGTAACACAAGGTCATGGTTTTCCCAAAACAAGACAATGACGTGCTACTCCAAGAAAGGAGATGCAATATATTCCCCTTTCCTCTCAAACTAACCTGAAATGGTCCCTAGCTACTACATCCTTTCCCAAGTTATACAATATCTTTCATTTTTATTTCCAGGAAGGAGACCACTCATTCCACAATCTGCCCTGTAACCATTTAAGCATAAAATCAAAGCTTTTATTCTTGAATCACGTTTTTATCATGCATAATTAAAACAATGACAGGTAAGTTGTTCAGGTTGATGCTTCTGCTACCTTTAACTGCACTTAAAGTGAGAAGTTGAAAACCACTGACCACATTGACCACTGACCACTCATATGCAAAGAACTCCCAATTTTTCCATTATAATGAAACAGGAGATGAGAAAAAATTAGTTATCAAGGTTAAAGGCACTTCAAATACTCCTGTACGTATGCACTGCAGTTATGTATGTAATTTTCATCAGTCAGAATTAACAGTACTATATCTGATAGCCTTAAATTATTGTGGTTTTGGTTTTTTTTATGCAGTGATGATTAAGAAAAAATTTTGAATTAAACCTTTCATGCAGGAGAGTAATCAAAGCCCCGTTTTAGCCAAAAGTATCGTTATACTCCATCCCAAGTAGTATTCAATGATATTTAAGAAAAGTGCTCGGTGCTTCACACGAACGAGGGAGCTGCAATACAGCCCCTTCATTTTTCACATGCAGAACGTTAAGCCAGTTTAATCATTCAGTCATACCTGTTTAGATACCAACTGAATTCAACATGCACATTCAAAAAAATATTGCCTATGTCTGTTTCAGTCAGTACATAAACATTTCGTGTTCCTTACTCCACAGCGGTATGACCATTGAGCATTTTTCACTGAATTTCACTGAATTTTAGAGTTGGAAGGGACCATAGAGATCATCTAGTCCAACTCCCCTGCTGAAGCAGGATTGCCTAGAGCTTGTCAGAGCATGTTACTCAGGAGCATCCAGGTGGGGCTTGAAAATCTCCAAGGAAGGGGACTCCACAACCTCCCTGGGCAGCCTGTTCCAGGGCTCTGTCACCCTCACTGTGAAGAAGTTTCTCCTCATATTTGAGTGGAACCTCTTATGTTCCAACTTGTGCCCGTTGCCCCTCGTCCTCTCAGTGGGAACCACTGAAAAGAGTCTGGCTCCCTCCTCCTTCAACCCACCCTTGAGATACTTGTAGGCATTGATAAGGTCTATAAGGTCTTTGACCAATATCACCAACATAACAAAAAAAAAAAAGCCAGAATTATCACAAGTGTGGGCTACCTGAGCAAGTCGTAGCTGCTAGGGAAGCCTTGAAGCAAAAAGCTCAGCACATTACTAATTGCAGCAATAGTAGGCTGGGACAGAGACATGTCTCGAAGGGTCAAGAGCAGTCTTGGGATAAGCTGGAATTCCCTCATTAACTTGGCATTCTTTGCTGCCTCGCTGGAAGAAGAGAAGAAAAGAAGTGGCAATTTAAAATTGGAGCATCCTCTACATCTTTCCTAACACTGCAAGTCTCATTTCTAGGCTCCCATTGTACCTTGACTCGGTGAGAAGTTCGATGAAGTGCTCGAATAGCGACAGATGAAGCTCGTAGGGTGCATGAAGCCAGACCTGAAGTACAGAACAAACAATGACATGCTTTGTACACAAATCCACTTTTAAGATCAAAAGCTGAAATTAATACACCAGAGGATATGAAAGGCTTGAAGAGATTAAAACTGTTCTTCTACGTGACTATTTATCTGACCCCGGCACTCAAAAGCTCATTGCGAGGTTCTCAATTGTTTATTCTTCAACTTCAGATAAATATACTAGTAAAAACTACAGAAATGCAGATGGTACCAAACATATTCTCTGTAAACGTATCACGGTGAAAACTTTTGAAGAGTTCTGGATAAAAAAGTCACATACTATATGGAATTTCTCTTGAAACGGATGGTGCGATGACGTCTTCCAAAGGAGTTACTGTGGGTTACAAAGCTGATGTGAAATGCCCTGTTCAGGTTATTTGGCTTAAGTGAAGATTTTCTCATTGTAAAATTACCTTACCATCTTCTGCCAAAATTAAACTCAAGGTCTTCCCTGATTTTGGTTTGGTTTTTTCATATTATTATTTTTACCCAACATTTCCTGCACACCATTTTAAATGATTTAGATCCTCTACCAAAAAAAAAATAAAAATCAATTGTTCAATCAATAGAAGTAATAAAAGTTACAAAAGCCAGAAAGCTCCCAGTTATAGCTGCAAATCTTAAAACTGACTTGCTATTGAACAAAGCATAATTAATATTTGTGTTCTGGTGTATAAAACTGGATTAAACGAAGAGCTTTCTCATTTTTTCTTCTCCTCTCCTTTATCAACCATAATGACAGAAAAAAATCTCTACATTTCCCTGCTTAGTTTAAGAGAAAGAGCATCTAGTTTATCCAATCTGAGTGTAATGCTTGGGTCACTGATTTCTGAATAGAGAAGAAAAAAAAGAAAAAAAAGTCCAAGCCAAAAACTGGAGGCTTTTGGCAAGTTTCTTCTTAGTGACTCACAGCCCTATTACTTGCACATTTTTTATTCTCTTAACTGTATTCCTTTCCCAGTTGTCCTTGGTCTTCAAGGGGAAAAGAAAAAAAGACAGACATGAACTAAGTGTAATGCTTGGGTCACTGATTTCTGAATAGAGAAGAAAAAAAAGAAAAAAAAGTCCAAGCCAAAAACTGGAGGCTTTTGGCAAGTTTCTTCTTAGTGACTCACAGCCCTATTACTTGCACATTTTTTATTCTCTTAACTGTATTCCTTTCCCAGTTGTCCTTGGTCTTCAAGGGGAAAAGAAAAAAAGACAGACATGAACTAAACATTATGAAATTGGTTCTCTTGTACAGCAGTTGCTGGTTCCTTTATAAGGGAAAGAAAAAAAAACATTATGAAATTGGTTCTCTTGTACAGCTGTGTACAGCTGTCCATTACCATTTCTTCACAGTTGCTGGTTCCTTTATAAGGGAAAGACAAAAAATAAAAACAGGGGAAAAAAAAAAAAAAAAGAAGAGTATTCTTCAGCAAAATTCATGCCTCACTGTAAAAGGAGCTGGGCTGTGATTCACACTCTTCTCTCTGCTAAACAGTTCATCTATTTTAAGACCTCTACCACAAATACTACCTCTTGTGGTTGTAATAAATTCTATTAAGTCTAGGTTTAATTTTGTGAGCACAAAAGAAGCATTACTGTAATTTAGAAGGTTTGTTCAAGAACAACTAGTTACGTGATACTGAAGAACTTAGGTTTCGACACAGCACAAACTTATTTCTAGGTTTAACATTACACCTCAAAGAAAAAAAAAAAGGAAAATCTGCTGTGTGACAAATTTCCTCTCTATTAGATCCCCACTGAGGTTTAAAAGAAAAAAAAGAGGCTCAGGTATGCCCTTTTCATTCCCTCTTTCTTTGTGCCATAATTATAGCGCATTGTTGATCTTGGCAAGGGGGGAAGTTGGGTGATTAATGACCTTTAAGCTCTCAAAAAAAAAAAAAAAAAAGGAAGTTGACAAGGCCAGTTGATTTTATTAGAATAAAGGCTATAGGAAGCAGCAGGAGGTTTTCATAGACAAGACCCTTAAATAAAGTTTCCAGGAGTGCTCTGAAATACTCAAATAAACGTCTCAAAAAAGGAAATGGCTAAGTCCATAAAGCCATTTATGCAAGATGGACGTGCGCTGTTAATTCAGTATTTCATAGCTGGATTAGTAGTGGTAACAGTATTTTCATTTATTTATTTTGGTATATGTGAATCAGAATACTTTAACTCTGTCTGTGCCAGGTACAGATAATGCCAAAGGAGCAAACACTAAACAACGACTTCTACGCGTGGTTTATCAGCCTCTATTCCATTACCATTTCTTTCTGAACTTCTCTACTCTCCTTAGTTTAGCACAACACCACTTCAATATTTCCTAAGTTGTGCAAGCAGAATTTTAACTGCCTTACTATTAAATTTGCAGGACACGTATGGTAAGGTAATTCTTATGTGCTATGCTGGAAGTTTACCTCCTACTGTTATTTTCAATGCATCTTTCATGCCTCGATACACGTACTGCAGTAGAATACACAGGTTAAATGGAGTTGCTAACAGAAAACTACAAAATATATCTTCTAAGCAACAAAAAGCAGAAACATTTGTGGTGTGCATTTATTGCTCCTACACTGATTCAAGTGGGAAAGGAAAAGTTACAAATAACCTTGTCGCTCGACTGCTTTACTGTACTGTATATGAAATAGTAAGTTCTCAGGATAGCAACCTAGTTTGCTGTTGTTTGATATTTAAGCTATGCTACCAGCATCTGACTTAATCCCTATCCAGCATCACTTGTGCAGCTTTACATACTTCAAAATCACAGAGCAGATCCTGGAAGGCAGCAGAATTGGGAATAATGGACGTCTCGTGCCCGCTATCGACAGTCCCCACCAAGGAAAAGGTCAGATGGAGGATGTGGCTGTTCAGAAGGGATCGTTTCTTCTTCAACAGCATTGCCAGCAACTTGAACAAGAAAGCAGAAAGGGAATTAGTAGCCCGTGGACACACAGCAACGTGGTCTAAGCACAAAGAAGTATGGGTGAAATGTCACAATCACAGAATCTTCTAGGTTGGAAGGGACCTTAAAGATCATCTTGTCCAACCGTCAACCTAACTTTGACAAAAATAGACACCCACACAACAAACAAGGAGCATCATCACTAAACCAGACCTCCCAGCACTACATCAACCCGTCTTTTGAACACCTCCAGGGATGGGGCCTCAACCACCTCCCTGGGCAGCCCAGTCCAATGCCTGAGAACCCTTTCAGTGAAAAAATGTTTCCTAATATCCAGCCTGAACCTCCCCTGGGGCAACTTGAGGCCATTTCCTCTCGTCCTGTCACCTGTGACTTGAGAGAAGAGACCGACCCCCCCCTCTCTACACCCTCCTTTCAGGGAGTTGGAGAGAGCAAGAAGGTCTCCCCTCAGCCTCCTCTTCTCCAGGCTGAACACCCCCAGCTCCCTCAGCCTCTCCTCATCAGACTTATTCTCCAGACCCCTCACCAGCTTTGTCGCCCATATCCCTTTTGAAAAGACCCTTAAATATGTCTGATCGTTGATACTCTTGATGAAAAAGCTGGAAAGTAGCATTGTTTAGTTAGAGAAGGGGCACATCCAGGACACCCAACAGCTCATAAACCATCTCTTTTACACTGCAGAGGGTACCCATGCCCTGAGGATTAGGTGCACACAACCCCTCTCTGCTCTCCTGTAGTCAGTCACAGTTTTAGACAACCCATGATATGTTCTCAGATAGTGGAGTTCCTGGACCACAACATGGCAGACCTAGATATTGCACCCCCAGAGTGCCTGCACAAACGAGAGGCACTGATGAAAAGTAGCCATGAGAACACAAATCTGAATAAGCCTTTCTTTTTTTCTTGCTACCCTTTGCTGCCTTAGGCATGAGTGAAGATCTCAGCCCTTCAGTCCTCATTTCTTGTTTTAACTTCTTATAATCTGGGTTGGCAAAGAACAAGCTGCCAGATGTGTTATTACTATTTCTTGTCTTCTGTTCCACACTTGCTAAACTCTCAATATACTGGTGTGTTCAGCTTCATCCTCCTCCTTGAAACAGTATAAGAAATACAGGTGTCTGGGAGTCTCTCTCAAAGCTACTTGCTGAGGTCAACGTTGGCAAAGAACAAGCTGCCAGATGTGTTATTACTATGTCTTGTCTTCTGTTCCACACTTGCTAAACTCTCAATATACTGGTGTGTTCAGCTTCATCCTCCTCCTTGAAACAGTATAAGAAATACAGGTGTCTGGGAGTCTCTCTCAAAGAATGCTACTTGCTGAGGTCAATACAAGTCAAGTTTAAGGTCGTATGTGATAATCCACCAACTGCTTACGGTGCAAGGAGGACACTGTCCAGACTTGTTTGGTTAAGGTAAGCCAAGGTCTGCAACAGGCTACATGGAATAAACATTTTGATTTAACTATACTAGTCATTGGTATTATAAGATTTTTAAATATACTGCCCAAACCACAGCACAAGTTTTGTTTCAGTAAAGCATTTTTCATAAGAAACCTAAAGTCAGTCAACCAGTCCTTCCACACAACTGACTGCACTTTCCATATCCCGATGGAGAATTAAGAAGTCTTCAGCTTGAAAGCAAATAGCATCACTAACTATAAAGTCTGTGCAGTATCCTCAAAATGGTGATTCTAGAAGTCCACTTGTTTGGTTTTCTTCACGTGTCCCTATCCTCCTCTCTCGCTGGCAGGTCATGGAGACAGAAGCTCCCAGGCTTTTCATTGAATTTCATTGAATTTCATTGAATTTCTAGAGTTGGAAGGGACCATAGAGATCATCTAGTCCAACTCCCCTGCTGAAGCAGGATTGCCTAGAGCTTGTCAGAGCATGTTACTCAGGAGCATCCAGGTGGGGCTTGAAAATCTCCAAGGAAGGGGACTCCACACCCTCCCTGGGCAGCCTGTTCCAGGGTTCCGTCACCCTCACTGTGAAGAAGTTTCTCCTCATATTTGAGTGGAACCTCTTATGTTCCAACTTGTGCCCGTTGCCCCTTGTCCTCTCATTGGGAACCACTGAAAAGAGTCTGGCTCCCTCCTCCTTCAACCC